AGAGGCAATAAAAGAAAGATGTGAAAGTTCCAGGTTAGATGCAATAAGCACACTAAACCCATCTCCCCCACAGCTATAAAACCTGAACTGAATGTACATTGGAGTCCCTGAGGAGTACATAACAGCAGGCTAATCAGGGAAGAGTACCAGACCTGCAGTACCACAGGACCAGTGGCACCTTCACCATCTCTTCTTCCCCAGGATCTCTCAGCCTAAAAATGCAGTTGACACCCTGAGCGAACACCCAGAGCAGACAGTGAGGTCCACGAGAAAGCCTCTAGCTCTTGCTATAGGAGTAAGAACTCCTAAGGATCAGAGTGTGCAGAAATTCTCCACTTTGTGTGGCTACTTCTTCTCTTATTTCTGTTCTCTCATGCACCAGCTGCAAGACAGTCCACTACGGCAGTGGCAGTGACCAGTACTGAGCAGTAATTTGGACATCCATATGCTAAAAAACAAACGTCAACCTAAACCTCGCATCTTATTCAAAAATTACTTCAAAATGGATCACAGATCTAAATGTAAAGCATAAGCTATAAATATCTAAAATATGATATAGAAGGAAATCATCCCGATTTGGATTAAGTAAGGAAATCTTACACATGACACCAAAAACACAATCCATAAAAGAAAAATATCATACATTTTTTGATCTCTGAATATCAATGTCAAGAGAATGAAGTGGCAAGTTACATACTGAAAGAACGTATTTCTGAGTCACAGATCTGACAAAGGACTTGTATGCAGAATAAATTTTTTTTTAAACTCTCAAAACAAATAAGAAAAAAAATTAAACATGGGTGAAACATTGGAACAGTTCCTTCACCCATGAGGATATAAGGATGGAAAGTAAGCACATGAAAAGATGTTCGACATTAGTCACTAGAGAAATGGAAATTAAAGCCACGATGAGATACTACTACACATTTAATAAGACGACTAAAATAAAAAAATACTGACCCTGTGACATAACAGAGCTCTTCTATATTGCTGCTGGGAATGCAAAGTGATATAGCACTGTGGAAATGGTTTGGCAGTTTAAACACGCTCTTAACTTACAATCCAGTAATTCCATTCTGAAAATCCACCCTGCAAAAATGAACATGTCTACTCTTAAAACAGTCTGTTCATGAATGTTTATAAATAGCTCTATCCTAACTGCCAAAAACAGGAACCAGCCCAATGTCCTTCAGTGACTGAATAGATAAACTGTGGTACATCTGTATAATGAAATAATGCTCAGTAATAAAAAGAAGCAAACTTCTGAAGTATTCAGCAACTTGGATAAATCTCAAAACATTATTCAGTAAAAGAAGCCAGTTTCAAGTGTTGCATACTCGTTGGTTACATTTAGGTGGTGTTTTCAACAAGATAAAAACTGTAGGCATGGACCACATACTGTGGTTGCTGGGGGTTGGGATGAGGGAGAGGGTGATTATAAAAAAGAGCAAGGAAGTTCTGGGAGGACAGGAACTGTTCCACATCCTGTTCTGTGTCCTGGTGGTGGTAGCATCAATCCATATATTTGTTAAAATTTATAAAGTCACATACCTAAAAGATGTCTATTTTTGTCTGATTATTTATAAAGCAGGGTTTTTTTAAAGAGAGATTAAAAAATTGAACCCAAAATAATTTTTAGCTTCAATTTTTTTTTTTAAATTTTAAAATGTTGATTTCAAGTCCAGGGACCAGAGGCATGTAATGACTGTAGACCAGATCATCTTATCACTGAATCCTGACACCGGAGACAGGGTTCCCTGACCCTCTGAAAGCAGTTAAGTGACAGACTGGCATTTCTTGAGATGATTTGACAGCTGTAAATGGCCAGCCTGCATCATCCTATTTAACCAGAAATATTTTTCTGTCAATTATTCAAATTGGTTGTCTACACAGCCCCAGATTTCCCATGGAGTTGCTGCCAACTCATTACATTTCCAGGTATTTGGCAAACTAACTATTGGCCAAGATTTAAGTTGGTCTAACATCATTGCTCTTTTCTGCCTTCTGAAATCTGTACTTTTTTGGGCCCCTTTGACCATTACCCCCAAAACTGGAAACCTCTTTTTAAAAATATTTTGTTGATTTATTTGAGAGAGAGCAGGGGGAGAAACAAAGGAGGAGGGGAAGTAGAGGGGGAAGAATCTCAAGCAGACTCTGCACTGGGTGCAAGACCCCTCAATCCCAGGGTTCTGAATTGATGACTTGAGCCAAAAGCAAGGGTCAGATGTTCAACTGACTGAGCCACCCAGACGCCCCTGGAAACCTTCTTATTAAGTCAGCTTCATATCACCCCTCATTTCTTTAACTTTCATTTCTTTCTTGAGACCTCCTTATAGATCCTTCTTTTTGAGTGGGTGATCACAAAGATGGTTGGTTATCTGGTGGTGACATAGACCAAGAGAGGATTATGGTCTGTTTTCTGTTCAATTTCTCCCTCCTCACCCCATTGCCAAGGTTCAGAGAAACCCATTCAGGACAAACATGATCCAGCAACTCATTCAATGGACTCAGGCAGACCACCATCAACTGTTTACTTTGCACCCCTCATTGCTTTCTCCTAACTTCTAATAATAGGTCCATTCGTAGAACTACCTATAATTAACAAACAATAAAACTTATTGGATGTATTTTACAGAGCACCGCCACCCTTGTCTCTATCTTAGTGCTTGTTCCATAGTTTCTGTGCAAAGCCTTCCAGTCTTATGGATTCAGATCTCAATTTAGCTGAAACCATACAAGCCTTTTATATGCCAGGTGCTTTTTTGTGTATTATGTCACTTAATCTCCAAGAAGGCCCAAAAGCTTGAAAGTATTCCTTAAGCACTAATTTTATTATGTGTCATGTTAAACTCACATTTCAGCCATTCCAGACCTTTCTAGGGCCTGGCAACATGATGGCACGGGCATATCTATAGGAACACACACAATTTTATGATGTAAATTTAGAAGGTAACATGCTCAGATGTGGGCACCACAACATTAAACATGGAAACGTAGAATGGGTGACATTACAAGTTACAACCCCTTCTTAATCACTGCAAGCAAAGTGTAACGTCCATAGCAACATAATACGTAATGGGTACGTGGTGACTTTTATGATCCACAAAAATAAACTAATTGACAAAAATGATACATGCAAGTTTTTATCTGTATCCTGTGCAAATCTGTCACAATCCAGAAACGTTGGGCAAGTTACTGCCAGAGCCTTCGGCTGAGCAAAGTTTGAGCATTCTGTTGCAGGACTGAGTTAAGTCTCAGAGTCTTTTCTCCCTTGTCATGGTGAAGCAGAACAATGGCTAGGCAGAGGCAGTGAGACCCAAGAGTCATCATCACGGATTCTTTCACTTAACCAGTGCCAAAATCAATTTTGAAGCATTATCTCCAAGTTGCTTTCAACTCAATCTGGGTGTTTCTCTTCAGCTAGAATATCACCCCTACACTGGAATCTTTATTACATCACACTAATCTAATTTAAATGCATTTTTACTGTACTTGGTTTAATGAATGTGGAATGTGTCACTATGAAATTGCACCATTAATTTGATAAATAGGACTTGAAGGTATAATTTTTTCCAGCATTGCAGACTAATGAAGCTAAAATACATATATAATAAGAAGTGTAAATAATAAATTATTCTTAGGAGCAAAAAAATTAATTAGATCTTACCACAGATTGCATCTCAATGTCAATTTTTTTTTTTTTTTTCCAAAACTACTGACTTTCAAACTACTTGGAACACCATTGTAAACCTTGGCAAGTTTCTCAAGTGATTACCTTCCATCCTGGGAATCTGTTTTAAGAAACTGCTATTGTTCAAAAAATCCTTTTAAGATGCCAGGATGGATCCCCTGTTGTCATTTCTACAGGGCATTTAGAGTATCTAGATGAATTAATCTTTTTCTTTAAGTTGTGCAGTTTTATTTATTCATAAAGACTTTTGAAAATCCTTTCAGATAGTATGCTGTGGAGACGGAAAAAGAAAAAAAAAAAAACCCAAACAGGAGACCTTCTATGCAAATTTGCCTCCAAAGGCAACAGATTTCTATTGGCAGTTATTTCAGGGGCAAGGTCTTCCTACGAGCTGGCTGATCATAGGAAGTCTGTGCCGTCCATAGGCTAAAGGATGTGATAACAGAGAGCGATGGGTCACTCCCCAATTACTGCTCAAATGCACACTCTGTGGGTAAGAACTAGATAGTAGCTAAGCTGGAAATTAGCTGGGAAATATACACACTAAAACCAGAGACCAGATAATGCTCCAAATGAGATTCTATTCCTTGGGTGGAGAGAAGGGAATTACGACTGGCGTAAGTGAGTCTTGGTTCAGGTTCAGCCTAGGAGCAGTGACTTTAGTGTCTGTACATATAGCCAGTAATTCCTAGCGCTCTAATTAATGAAATCTTTGCAGAGGACATTAGCTACAGGATGTCCGTCTGCTTAGAAACACGAAGGCTACTAAAACCAAAATGTATGGCAATGTGAAGCCTGCTTGGAGACTACAGTTCTTATGTTTCTGACCTATATTAATTTGAAAAACAAATTACCCGTTAGACACAATAACTAGTTTTTACAGATTTCTTATTTATCTGATACAAGGATTTTTTTTTTTTTTTTTTTAGCTTCATTGTCAAGATGAGACTAAATTTTCCCTTCGACAAAGATTCCAAGAAGGGGGGAAAGAAGCTCTTGGAATTAGAATTAACTATGTGGGGTCCACCCACCCTCTCTTTGTCCCCAGCTGGAGGTCTGTACATTCAAAGACAATTTACTCATGCTCTGTCCATTCCCCTGGCCCGATGCAGGACGCTGGGCCAAATGCTATCCCTGGCCTTATTTTCTATTCCTAGCGTGTCTTTTAACAAACAATGTTTTTTATTCCTTGTTATTTGATTTGGAGCCAAAATTCTGACGTGGCATCCGTTTTGTTGCCAGATAATGCATTAAACCTTACTAAGGGGTAAACATAATGATCTTCATTAAACCCTTTGAATGAACCCACCTCCTGCTTCTTCAGGTTGAGAAAAGCATTGACAAGGAGCACTGTGAAGCGTCTTGGAGTGATTTTCTTCTTGTAACAGGGGGAGGGAGAGATGAGTGGCAGCTTTTAGGGGGCGAGAGAAAGTTAGGTAAACATAAAAGGTTTTGTAAGATTTCCTTTCCTAATGGCAAAGTTTTAGAGCAATAAATCACAATTCAGTCAATACCATTAGTTTTGGGGCATTATATACCCTCATTAAAGTGGATAAACAATTATATTTATTGAAGGTAATGTGCTGTGTAGTGCATTATAACAATGCTCATTAACATATGTAATCATCATTCAAATGGGCTTTACTACAACGTAAACTGATAATGGCATGATTACACACTGGGTTATTAACTTTTCAGTCTTAAGATAATGAAAGGTGATGCAAGAAACCAAAAGCACATATACATGGCCCTTCATTTGTGAGTTATGCCTTTCCATAACAAATTCCAAGTTCAGGTAGTCGGGCTCAGGAGCTCATGTTGCCAACTGCGCGGACCCAGTACAAGATTCAATACAGTGTTTTGACAGAGGGTGGAGGAGAGTATGTGGCAGGACCTAGCTCAGACCCAATTAGGAAGATAATTCCGTGGGTCACCTATTTCTATCAGCAGCTTGTACTGTTCTTTCTCTGGTTTCAATACTTTTCCACACCAGACTTGGACAGACTCACATGCCCTAAGAAAAATGGGAACTCCCTCCAAATTTTTCCTTTGAAAATTTCACTTAAGAGACATTTGGCTGATGGTGGAGAAACATTGGAAAACCCTAGATTAAGGGACATTCTACTAAAATCACAAGATCATGAAAGATGAAGAACGAGTAAGGAACTATTCTCAATTAAAACAGGCTAAAAAGACAGAATCACTTAGGGCCATGTCTGATCCTAGGTTCGATAATGGCCCAGAATTTTTTTTTTCTTTTTTGCTATAAAGATATTTTTATTAGGACAATTGGGGAAAATTGTATGAGGTCTATAGATTAGATAATAGCATTTTATTAATGTTATTTTCTTGATTTTGATAATTATACTGCATTTATGTAAGACGTCCTTGTTCTATACACATGTAAAGGTATCTAAGAGGAGTGCCTGGGAGGCTCAGTTATTAAGCGTCTGCCTTCATCTCAGGTCATGATCCCAGGGTGCTGGGATCGAGCCCCACATCCAGCTCCCTGCTCAGTGGGGAGTCTGCTTCTCCCTGTCCCTCTGCTTCTCCCCCCCACCGCTATTGCTTGCTCTTTTTCTCTCTCTCAAATAAATAAATAAAATCTTTTTTTAAAAAGTATCCAAGAGAAAAGGCCTTTTACGTCGCAACTTACTCCCAAATGAATTTTAAAACTGCATATCTACTTAATAATAATGACAATAATAATATATAAGGAGAGAATCAGAAAGCAAATATGGAAAAAAAAACTTTGAGTGAAGAGCATTCAGGAATTTTTTTGCACTACCCTTACAGCATTCTCTAAGCCTGAAATTATTTTAAGATTAAGAACATTTAGAATTCAAGAACTGACCATAAAAAGGCCATGGCTTTAATCAAGCACATCTGTTGGCCGGCGTTATCAGTAACAAGTCAGACTAACGATCAGGATCTCCTACTCATTTATGTCCTTGATTTGTTCTGTCAGCGGAAGTCCCAGATTTGCAAGGACAGTTCTTAATTCCTTCGCTCCCAGCTGATATCTATTTCCTATATTTTAGAGTCAACAGTGACAAAAGGTTCGTGATATGAAAGGTAAAAGACATTGTACTCTAATCACCGAGATTAGAGAGTAATAGCCTTCGCCACTGAAAATTCCCTCTTAACCATGACTTCGCAACCCAGTTGGCAGCGGCTTGAGAGCTGTTCTCAAAAGAATGACTGACTCACATCTCTGCAGAAGCCCGAAGGAAAGAACCCCTCCCTGGCTGTTGCCCTCCTCTCCAAACCAGTGCAGTCACACTCTTAAGCGGCACCCAGACCTGAACTAATGGATCACGCAGCCTGGGCGTCAGCTGCCCAAACCACACTCATGGAGAGAGCAAGGCTCACAAAGCTATGGTAAGTTACCCACTGAAGGAAGAAGCAAGATGAGACTCATCTCCAAAGTCTCTGGCGTTAGTCCTCTTGTCCCTTTAGACCACACAACGCTGTGAAACCAGTAACGTTAATATAATTTAAGATTTGCTTTAGAAAAGGTCTTCTTTGATTGTCTCATTTTCACAGACTTTCATGGAAATTGGCGACTTCTGTAGCTGAGGGCTACCCTTCCCAAGGCATGGCTGTAAATGCAGACATGACCATGCTCAAGAATGGCAGAGGAGCTTAGTCAATAGCTCTCTATAAATAAGAGGCACTACGTAATACATAGACATTTATTTGGAGATAACTAGACTTAAAGATGACATCTACCGAGTTCATGTTTTTATTAAATCATATTAGCGTTGGCACAATCATCTTCTCTCATTATAAATACTGAGCACTTTTATTTGCTACAGGGTATAGCTTTAAGAAATTTTCAATTGACTGACAGCTGCCTGTCAACTCCTGACTCTGGAGAGATCCAGGAACTCAGCTTGCAAAGCTCCAGGGAATTCTAAGGAGCTCCAAGACGGTTAATGGCTGTCCATTAGCGTGAGGCCCAGCGGAGCCCCAGAATCTGTTAAGTGGGAAGTTCTTGCTGCAGAAGGTCAGACAATTCCCTATTGCCCTCCGAGAGAACTGGGAAAATTCAACTTGAAGCAGAGACTGGGGTGCTACAAGTTTATGTACTAAGGGAAATCATTTCATGCAGTTTGGTATTACTGTACACCATGTTTTATTTATACTCTATACTAGATGAGAAATTGAATACCCTGCTCTTTTCTGGCAATGGAAACTTGCCTTATTCTCCTGAACTGGGCCCAGCATCAATACAGCAGCGTGCAGCCTTTTTGACTATGTATTATAGAGCGGCTTCTGTGCATTGTATATTAAATCCGATATGCACTGTGAGTTTATATGCCACACACACTACATTTTTCTATATTACGTCCTGCCATCTATCATATTAAGTGAAAGGGGTGATGGAGTGGGCCTCAGGTAATGTAAAGAAGATTGCTAACAGCTTGCGCGCCGCGTGGAGAGGAGGTGCGTATTTCTGCCGTGTGCTCTGTGTATATACAGCAAGTGAGCACACAGCAAACTGACCGTGTAGACAGCTCAATGGCCCTGGCAATGGAATTAACCACCTAGATACTACTGAAATTACCTACCGGCTCAAGCAACATGCTTGCCGCCCTAACAAAGCCCAGAAAAGTTTCACGTGAGTCAAACAGTCCTTCCCAGAAGTGGGAATAAAAATGAGGTCTGGCCCATTAAAGATAAAGCAGCAACCCCACTCTGGAATAGTCAAGCCGGGATAATGAAGGATTGCAGCACAGGAAACACGCACAAGCGTCTGGCAATCACTCTGGGAATACCTGTCCCGTGTTCTTCAGTCTAGTCTGTGGAGGAAGCCTGGAGGTCCCATGTCTGAACACCATGTAAAAAAGAACACAAAGGCAATGATTAATGACTGATGAAAGAAGAAGTGTTGATGATCCTTTTTGAAATTCAAGTGCATTTTCTCATGACATTCTCTGTTTATGTATCAGAATTCCTAAATCTGGGAAGACTCTGAGTTGTGTTACCTGTCTCACCATTGTCCTTCAAATTGTCTCTTATGGAACTTTCTAGGTTGGGAAGGTTACATAAACTGGGCCTCTTTTTAGCATAACTTTGGTGGCTCATTGGGAATTCTCATGGCAAATTTTTATTTTTCTGTGAAAAGTTCTTGGTTCTGCTCACTTATTGATTTAAAGGTAAATGTTCTGTCATTCCCTGGGACCTAGGTGTTGTGGCTGCCCATCAAGACTTTGACCTTGTGTTCTGCCATTTGTGAGTCCCCCTGGTCTCGGACTGCCTGGAATCCTGCAGTTCCTTTAATCTGAAGCTACTAATCTCGGATTTATACTTTAAGAAAAGAACCCCACTATCAGACACTCACGACGGACTGCGGGACATCCCAGCCTTCTCATTGTCACCGCAGCATCTCTTCCTAAGAGCCGTGGAGGTGGTCACAAGGAGGAAGAGTTTTTTCTATTGATATTAGGGAAAAGAACCGTCACTTAAGGTGGTGTATAATCACTCATTATTTCTATTCTTCTAGTGCTGATAAACTTCATGTGGTGAGGGGATTGTAGCTTTTGTAGAAAGAGACACTTGGCCTTGAGCATCAGGCTTTACAATACATTTCTGGTGCAATATTATCAGGTGACACCAGTTCATCCCAGAGCATTTTACAGCTTAACAGAAGGTTTTGATTTCCTGGAGGAGTCTTAATTGATTCTGAATTCTTTAGCATTCAACCTTCCTCATGACGATTGTTGGAAGACTTAATACAGGAAATATTACGTTTAGACAAAGGAGGCCCAGAAGGGAGACTTTTGTGGACTGTCAAAGATGTGTTTCACTATTAAGAGGAAGTGCCAAGCTAGCCGAGGAGCCTTGGGTTTAAGCTTTAGCCCGCCTTACGGGTTTCTACAGCTGCCTTGGAGGGGGAGGGTCCCCGTGAGCCACAATCTCCACGGCTTGATGATGTATGGAGTGACACCGACGAGTCAAGGAAAATGAGCAGGAGTTACTTCCAGCTTCCTTCCATCACAGGGAAAGCTGCCAAAATTCAAAACTCTGAGGATGCAGGCGGGCAGGGAAATACAGCATCGGGAAAATGGAGAAGCCCCATCCTGTACAGGGAGGACTGTCTGGAACCTGCTTTGCCACAAAGCTGGCATGCAGTTTCTTTCCTGCTATAGTCAGCAGCCTGTGGCAAACCCTGCCTCATGACTTTTAAAAGGACTCATCAGAGAAGGTAGGAGGATGCAATATTAATAAAATAACACCAGTGATGGTGCATGTTTGCTTTCTTTCATAGATGGGGAGGAACTGTTAACCCTTGGGTTGCTTAAAATATCTAGGGCATCCTGATGGACCTATCCCTGTATTATGAGAATGTGGGGTGCCCCACCCCCTTCTCTTGAGCCGGCGCATCTGCATGGCCCCTCCCCAAGGCAAGTGGGTAAGGTGGAAAAGTGGGTCCTCCAGTCACCAGAGGAAGGAATTACCTTAACTCAATCTTCATCCATTCTTTCATTTTTTAAAATAAAATGCTTCCAGGATGCCTGGGTAGCTCAGTCAGTTAAGTGTCTACCTTCATTCAGGTCATGATTCCAGGGTTCTGGGATCGAGACCCAGATGGGGCTCCCTGCTCAGCGGGGAGCCTGCTTCTCCCTCTCCCTCTGCCATTCCCCCTGCTGCTGTGTGCTCTCTCTCTCTCAAATAAATAAATAAAATCTTAAAAATATAAATAAATTAAGATAAAAGTTTCCATATACCTATTCTGTGTTTGATACACTCTAATATATTTACAGAAAATGATGACAGGGAGGACCTCTCCCCCATTTCTAAAGTGAAGAAGGTGTATCACGAGGCCGGCTCGCCACAGCCAAGCATTAGTCAGCAGAGACTGGGCTTCCATGTGGCGTTTTGCAAAACCAACCACAGGGCTTGTTTTGCTTTCATTTTTTTTTTTTATTCCCCACACTACATTCATATGCAAAGTTTCCCAGTATACCATCTTCTACCAGTTTATTTAAAAAAAAAGAAAAAGAACATAATCATTCTGCAGCTGTCAGAAGCGCCTGGAAAAGCCCAAGAGTTCAGTATGAAAGGTGCTATTAGGTTGGGGAAAAACACCCTGGCTGCCACAGATGGCTCATTTTCACGATAGACCTGAGGTTTAAAAAAAAAAAAAAAAAAAAAAAACAACCTAGTTGTTTTGCCTGCAGCATAAACAAGGAATATTCTCCTTGAGCAAGAGCAACTGGCTTTGCAGAGACGAGGCTCCAATCTGTCTTGCTAAATTCTGACACTAAAAAGAAATACATATGGGTGAATCCACAAATGTTCACATGGCAGGGGAGCAAGTCTGGGGTAGTTGCATCAAAAGCTTGACTTTACATTGTTTTTTCATGGTGGTGTCAGTCCTGTTTTATAAATTAACAATAATATCTTTATTGTAAAAGTAACATATGTTCATTCCTGAAAATTTGGGAAATAAAGAAAAATCTACCATCCAGGGATGATTACAATAATTCTTTGGTGTATTTCCTTCCAGTCTTTTTTTTGTATGTGTTTAAACAAACAATCACATACATATACATATATGTATACATAACATACACATATTCCCTGAATATATTTAAAGTAAACATATGCATTGTGTACCTTATACATTAAGGTATATTTTCTGTGTATGTATCTATTACAAACATATATATTTCTTTTTTTACATCATTGAGCAGTACTATATATATATATATATATATATATATATATATATACACTTCCATATCTTTCTTTTATTACTTAGTATTGTAATTATAACAGGAACAATCTCCCTTATCATTAATCATTAGTTACACTCGCTGAGCATTTTTAATGACCACATACTATTCCATTACGTATACACATCATAGCTTGTTTGATAAGTCTTATTATCTGTAAAAAATGTTGCCAAGGTTTTTTGTTTTGTTTTCTGTAGACAATGCTTCATTAGCCATCCTTATATTTAATCTTTGGCTGTATCTCTAATTCTTTAAATTATCATATAAAGAGGGATCCCAGCTTAAAACATTTTTTAAGACTCTTGGGGCACTTGGGTGGCTAAGTTGGTTAAGTGTCTGTCTTTGGCTGGTCATGATCCCAGGGTCCTGGGATCTTGAGTCCCACATCTTGCTTCTTGCTCAGTGGGAAGCCTGCTTCTCCCTCTTCCACTCCCCCTGCTTGTGTTTCCTCTCTTGCTGTCTCTGTCTGCCAAATAAATAATTTCTAAAAATAATTGTAAAAAATTTTTAAGAATAATTTAAAAAAATTTTTTAAAATAATTATTTTTAAATAAATATTTTTTAAAAAATAAAATATTTTTAAGACTCTTAATATATTGCTAAATCCTTTACCTAAACAAATTCTGTTCACAGAGGTTAAGAAATATCAAGGCATATGGCAACAGTGTCAAGTGGTACAAAGATTGTAACTTCATAATTTTTCATAATTTCATGAAGACTTTGTCAAGTCTACTGAGAGTAAACCCAAATGGAACTATTCTATAGCTGACAATTGTAAGCCTACAATGATCACCCAGATTTTAGACTGAGTGTTTTAATCACAAAACTCAACCCTTCAAAAATGGCATTCATGTTTTACAACATGGGTTTTTTTTTTTTTTTAAGATTTTATTTATTTATTTGACAGAAAGAGAGAGAGATTGAGAGAAAGCACCAGCAGGGGGAGAAGCAGAGGGAGAAGGAGCACCAGGCTCCCCGTTGAGCAGAGAGCCGGACATAGGGCTTGATCCCAGGACCCCAGGATCATGATCTGAGTCGAAGGCAGATGCTTAACTGACTGAGCCACCCAGGCACTTGTTACATTGTTTTTAATCACTACCTTTTATTTAGAAATACATCTCCACTAATTACGTCTTAATGTCATAATTTTCTGAATCTCCTCACTGTCAGGACCTTCCACAAGAGCAAATAGCTTTATTAGAAGGACATAGAAAATGTCCTTGTTAATCTTAATACACAGACTATTCAGAACCCACCTGAAGAATTATAAATATCTTTCAGGAGACAACATATTCTCCTAGCTCTCATGCTCCACCCTAATGTCTCCCTTGAAATACAAAGTAATCTGACAATTAGGCAGAACAATTTATGGTGTATCTGTGTGTTTTTCAATACTGGCAGTGGGATGTCATTTTGTCCCTTTATCTAGTGGCTTAAAATCCAACTTCTGTATAAATACACTGCAGAGCAATTGTAGTGATCAATATTATCTTTATCAAGGCCAATGAAGCAGTGAGCATATAGCTACTCACGGTCCCACGTGGATCTGCATGGAGTTGGATTTGAACCCACAGTCTCCATATTTCCAACTGTAGGCAATCGAGCTACCCCGCCCCAACACACACACACACACACTGCCCAGGATGATCTATGCTCTTATGTAGAAAATTTGATGGATAGAGACAGCTCAAGCACTAAACTGGAACCCCAAATCAATAAACATAAAGACTGGGTGTTCACAAATTGGCAGTCATTTAATTCCCTTGCTATTAATGCTTTTCTTCCAGACATGAGCAGTTTGTGTACCTGTGAAGTCTGTCCTTGACGCTGCCTCAGTGGGGCAAAGGGGGCACCCTTTTCTCCTAGTACTTCAAGTAATCTTCTTAGTGTGTATTTATTTCAAAACTTGGTGAAGACTCCTATATCTAGCCAACTGGTATTCATTGACTGAAAGGAAGATTTCATGCCATTCCATTTATTAAAGTTTATTATTACAGATGTTTTCAAATATTCACAAATATTGAGATAACATAATAAACTTCTATAGGCCTATCATTCATTTTCAACTTTTCTTATGGCTCATG